CCACTTTGTCAGAGTGACCTCGCGCATATGCTGAGTGTCCTAGACCCTTCTGTTGCAGGTCGGCCAGTTGACTGGAGATCTCGATGATCTTGAACTTGGTGCGCTCGTACACGTCTGGGTGCACATCCCGTATGAAGTCGAGAATGTTCAACATCATTGTACCGTTACCCGCGCCCATTTCGTATATGTTCAAATCATGGTATGGGTAGAAATTGTACTTGTAGTCCTCTACGAGGTAGCGTGCGATTGCTTCTCCGTAGTAGGGCGAGAAGAGTTCGGTGGGCGTATGCCAGAGTTGGCGCAGGTCGTTCGGTTCTTGGTAATCAAGATCGTCTTCGAAGGCGGTATAGCGGTGCCGCAGCTGCTGGAAGAATTCGTGCTCGGAGCCCATGGAGTTGAAGTCGAATGGATCGCCCGGAGAGAAGATGACGACTTGCTTGGAGAAGTAGCCGTAATTGGGGTTGTATAAGCTGTCTGCACATCCATTAGTACAGTACTACACCACAGGTGAAATTCCCAACCTTCTATAAAGTCGCGCAACAGCATCTTGACTCTGCGCGGTCTTTCTCTCCTACTCCGCAGCATGTCCGCTGTGACCATTGGGTATCTCTCAAACTCTTCCGTCCTCTCGTGAGGGAATGCATTCTTCCTCGGTGTCCACCTGCTCTCGCGCTTCGTTTCTCCCTCACCCAACCGTGTGGCCTTGCCTCGTCTTTGGTGGTGTGGTATGCGGGCGCCTGCGAGCGCTGGTCGAGCTCCGCGGGCAAGACATTGCGACGCTCGATGCGAGAACAGCTGGCGGAAGAGTTGCGTGGCGAGCGGCGAGTCCATTGGCGCCAGAGACAATTGTCACGAATGCGTCGCGACAGCAGTGGTGGCAGTGGTCTTCCGCGCGGATGCACGTGGTGAGCTTTGCGGGCAGCCGCGCCAAGACGGGGATACCACCAGCTCCGATCGCGTCAACTCTGCAAACTGCACGCCACAACTCCCCAACTTTTTCAAAATGGCGGATCGCTCCAAGTATTATTTCTTAGGCGCTTTTCTGCTAGGGATTGCTCTGACGACTGCATACAACAAAAAGAGGTCGATAGAAGGAATAGATAATGCAGATCAACTTCTGGCACGGCAACAAAAATGGCTATCGCAACTCGCAAAAACTAATGACTTGGAAACGTTGAAGAAGAGTTTACTGGAGTTCGGTGGTGGACACGGCGCAGTCAACATCAAGGAAGGTATCGAAGGATGCATAGGCGACACGCCCCTCATCAAAATCAAGTCACTTTCGGAATTCACGGGATGTGACATACTTGCAAAAGCTGAGGTAGAGAACTTACATGAATTTGACTCGAACGTTCGCTAACGTGAGCAACAGTTTCTCAATGGAGCCGGCAACAGTCCAAAAGACAGAGTCGCTCTAAGCATCATCGAGATGGTAAGAGAAGACTCTACTCCGCCTCCCGTTTATGTCACTCATGTTTGCTGATACTCATAACAGGCTGAAGAGAAGGGTCTTTTGATCCCACACTCTGGTGACACCATATACGAAGGCACTGTGGGGAGCACTGGCATATCGTTAGCCGCTATTTGCAGAGCAAGAGGCTACAAAGCACACATGTAAGTCGTCATCTGACTCAGAGGTGTGTTGGCTGACAAGCGAAGCTGCATGCCAAACGACATGGCAATCGAGAAGTCAGATCTCCTCCTGAAGCTTGGTGCTGAAGTAGAAAGAGTGCGCCCGGCGCCTATCGTGGACCAGAAACAATTTGTCAACCTCGCACGATCGCGAGCAGAAGAGCACACTGCAAGTTCCGAAAAGCCTGGGAGAGGACTGTTTGCCGATCAATTCGAAACGGAAGCCAACTGGCGCGCACACTTCACTGGCACGGGACCTGAGATCTATGAGCAAACTGGGCGTCGTGTGGATGCTTTCGTTAGCGGCGCTGGCACTGGAGGAACTATCTCTGGAGTAGCGTTATTCCTAAAGTCCAAATTACCCGACATCAGGGTCGTCCTTGCGGATCCCCCTGGCAGCGGCTTGTTCAACCGCGTCAAGTACGGTGTCATGTTCGACCCCAAGGAAAGAGAAGGAACGCGGCGGCGACACCAGGTGGACACAATCGTTGAAGGGATCGGCATCAACAGAGTGACTCACAACTTCGACGTTGGTAGGGAGCTGATCGACGATGCCATCAGGGTTAACGACGACCAAGCAATTTCCATGGCGCGCTGGTTGGTTGAGCACGATGGCATCTTTGTTGGAAGCTCTAGTGCTGTGAATTGTAAGTTGTGAAGCGTTCAACAGCAGGCGGCACTGACTTATTGAAGGCGTCGCTGCCACGAAACTTGCAAAGACACTTGGTCCAGGACACCGCATCGTCACCATATTATGCGACAGGTAAGACCATGTCTCAGAATCCTAAGTACGTACTAACATCTTCACAGTGGTGCAAGGCACTTGAGCAAGTTCTGGAAAAATACCGAACCAGTTGGTGGCGCCGAGAACGATGTGTCTCTCCAAGCCATTCTCGACGCTTGAGGCCTCCTTCCATTAACGCAATGTGCCTTCAGATACCTGACGCATCCAAGGACTTCATTCCCATTATCTAACCACACCACAGTTTTCGAAAACGAAGAGGTTGACAATTCACCGCTGGTTGTGTCTGAAACGGAGCTGTACAGCGGCGTTCAGATCCTGAAAGATTTGCCAACGCATCACAATGTCAGCCAACACGCCACCGCATCCTTAACAAGGGTGATCAGCCCCCGCCTTCATCAAGCACTACCATCACCACCATGGATGCGCAGCATTGTGCAGTAGCAGCCTTCCATCATCCACACGGAGACAATGGACACGTGACAGAAGAAAGACAAAGGTTCTACTCTTCACGGGATACTGGGAGTCAGAAGAGCAAGTCTTGAGCGGCGGTGTCTTAACAAAGAGCAAAGCTCCAACAAAACCCATTCTTCTGACAGCCGCCACGCCCGTTTGTGTCGCCTTTATATACTACGGCGAGCCCTCAACCCTGCATGCTACACACTCCCGGCTGGTTCATACCAAATATCGTCGCACACGTCTTCCCGCAGCAAACTTTCTCCATTCAGCAAGCCCTTGCCCGATCAGAATCTCTTTACCAAACGAACATATGCCTAACCGACGCATGAGCGATACAAACGGAATCAACAAAGCAATAAGTCCTACATCGAGCATTGTGCAAAGGCGAATAGCAAGAAAGATGTCACCATGGAATCGCAACCCAGCCCTTGCAAATAAAATCGCCGAAATGCGCCTCACCATCGCCCCCATAGTGCACGTGGAGACAGGGATACCAGCACCCGAGTTCCCCTCTACAATGCTCGATCTTTTCCTCCTCACCGAAGCGCAACTCGATGCGCTAGCCGCCTACTATTCCCAAACACATTCAACAGACCTCACAAACCAATATCCACAGACAATGAACTGGCAACAACCCTTCTTAGACGCCAGCGATGCCTTGCCCGAAAACTGTAAACTAGGTGAGCTGGAAAGGTTAAAGATCAAGATGAGGATGTTTGCGAGGTTCATTGGTATGAGGGGTGCAGATACGCCGCGGTGGGAGTATGATCGTCAGATTGAGATTTTGAGGAACAAGATTCAAAGGAGGATTACGGATGAGGAGGAGAAGGTGCTGAGGAAATTTTATCAGGGTCCTGTTAGTAGGCCGTGAGGGCTTCGAAGGGTGTCGGGCGTGCCGGTCATGCGTGAGGATGAAGGGAGGTTGCAGCTTTGTTAGAGTGTTGCCTTAACAAGCTTCGTATATGGCAGCAATACATCCCCTTAACTCTAACTTCCCGTGCCCCAACAATAGTGATCAGATTGCAGCAATCCGTGGACAGGGTATTGGATGTGTGTAATTCTGGTAGTACCGAATTTCAACCATGGGTTCGCAAACCGCAAAACCATTCCATATCCCTCACACAATAGCATAAAATACTTCCAACACCAAACTTGAGACTCCTCAGCTCATATATTGAACACACCATTCACGCAACCATGAAGCTCTGCACCACCATCCTCCGCCTAGCCCTCTGCGCCGCCGCCACCGCCTCCGTCCACCTATCCGAATCCCAGCTGCGTCAAAACCCCGACACAATCCCTCTCGCCGATCTCGAACCCACAACACCCCTCAAACAGGTAAGTCAAGAACACTAAATCCCCCCCCTGCATGAAAAAATCGCCTAACAAAACCTAGTGCTACAACTACTGCATGGACACGCTCAAGTACAAAACCCGCCGAGGCGGAGAGGGAGATTGGAATTACATCCGCTGCTTGAAGTCATGCAAAGAGGATCCGAACGTGAGTGGGACTAGGATAAACGTCTGAGCATTCTGTTGGGTGTCATTGTGGACTTGAGTGTGCTGACGAGGGTGTAGTATGCTGAACAGCCTACTGAGACGTGGCGGGCGATGTTTGTGTTGCAGGCGAAGGATTGTGAGCGCGTGGCAGATGAGTTTATGAAGGAGCGTCCGCGTGATGTTATGGATCTTCCGGAGCATTTGAAGCGCTTGGGCTGTTGAGAGGGGTGTGGTTTGCGTTGCGATTGAACGTTTTAGGGGACTGAAGCGCGTGCATATTGTAGCTTTCTGATGAGACGTTCAGCGGCTCTAACCATCGAATACATTCATCCACCAAAGTGCAAGTTCGATGACGAGCGTACAACAAACCACATGGGTGTCTAAGCCTAGAACACTCACTCTTCTCCATACGGTTTTCTTCTTTGGCACATGGCCATCGTTTGATCGCTGAATGGAGACGCGCGTCTTCAGGATGTTGAGCGTTTTGACGATGGCTCATTGGATAGGGCATGGAGTTCAATGGATCAAGCCATCACTCAAGGGTTCAGGGACTACACCCCCTCTACGCTCTCCGCACTGAAGCGATCTCACACAGGCCCTTCAAAAGGGTTCAAATCTATTTAAATAAGCAGTCAGCCGCGAACCTTCACAAATCATCTCCTTTAACATGAAGCCCCTCACCAATATCCTCGGTGCTGTCCTGTGCACTGCTGTTGCAGTCACTGCACAGGCACCCGACCCACAGCAAACTTCCGACATTGAGATTACGAAAGCCCAGCCCAGTGGCCCCGTATCCGAAAGCAAAGCCGATACCGATGTATGATTTGAGAGTAGATCTCAGCAGTTCATGAAGTCTGACGACACGTAGTGTGCGAAGAAATGCGTTAGCCCTCTCTCCCACGAAACCGAGGCTGAGTGGAACATCGCGATGTTCTGCTTGGAAAGATGCGAACTCGACAAAGAAGCAGCGGTATACCTCGGATATGATGATATGCTCAGGAAACTTGCTACGCCGTTGAGTGCAGTAAGTTCCAAATCTTACTCTTGCCAGAATGCGTCCCTGGAAAACTTACTTATTCAACGCAGACACCCAACTCCTATCGCACAGAGGCTCGCGGAAAAGAAGGTGAGGGAGTCACATCCGTAAGTTTGCAGCAAGGATTTAATTCATCTCGGTGCTGGAAGAGACGTACTGACCGAATGGCAGCGGCGAGATATCCTTGATGCGGAGAGTCTTTTGGCGTTTGCGGAAAAGCTCGAGAAGACGACCTGTTTCGATGAGTCAGACTCAAAAGACCACTACAGACACGCTTTGGAAGGTTTCGAGAACCTGAACAGGCAGTTCACTCTTAGTACGACAGATGAGATGGAAGGACTGGCAAGAGAGGGGAACCCCGAAGAAGATGTCAAGCGAACTGCCGCGCTGAGAGATGGACCGTTTGAGTCAATGCCAGCAAACGAAGGCACTGATGCTCCATCGTACGGATATCTCCTTGATAGGGACAGTGATTCGCCGTCTGCGGACGAGGACGAGGATGCGGAATATGCGGAATTTCTGAGCAGCAATTGGGAAGTTGCCGAGAAGATCAATGCCTTGTGGAATACTGATAAGATGTATGTGGTGGAAGTCCCGGGTAAGACAGGTTCATCGTCAGAGGGTTCCAAGCGATATTGGTTGCATACGTATGACGGTCGGAGATACGGGCCGTACGACAACAAAGATCTTTACTACCATTAAGATGCGAAAGAGCCTTCTGGTGGCTCATCTCGCGTTGACGGAGGGGTGAAGTGGGTAGAGCGGATGTTCCAGATCATTTGTAGTACCTCCGGGGTGGTAATACTCTCCCGAGCAACGATAGCTGAACCTATATCTCCTCCTGGATTGTACAATGTACCACCATGCATGTGAGGCCGTGTATGCCAACGGCAAACCTTGGAGGCCGATGATAAAGAGCCGCAGCCGAATTGACGACCTCACGCTAGCCCTCCGGTAGAACTAAACCTCTTCCGTCCAAGCACCAAACCGCCAACGGCCCGGGAGATCGACAGAGCATCGGCAAAGCTTCGCTCGCGTTCGCCCATCACTCACCAGCACGTCGCCAATACTGCTCCTTCCCCGCTCACGATGCGCCCGAGCCCGCGGGTTCTCTCACGCCACCACCGACCATCGTGACAATGCCACCACGCGCGCGTCCCCGTCACCGACCCTTGACCATCGCAACCATCTGCGGTACCGCATCGCTCATCCTACCCACCGTCACGCTCATCCGCCTCTACACCATCGCGGCGCTACCCGTATACTCGCTCATCTACGCTGGCTTCATAAGTGGAATAACGTTTCTTTTCTATGGCTACGATAAGATGCAGGCGCGGAACCTGGAGTGGAGGGTCAAAGAAGTGACGTTGCATACACTGGCGATGGTGGGAGGGTGGCCGGGTGCATTGGCAGGCATGCACTATTTCCAGCACAAGACGAGGAAGGTGAGGTTTCAGGCTGTGTTCTGGGGGATTGTTCTGGGCTGGGAGGGTGTCGCGTGGCTCGTGTGGAGTGGTGGGGTACAGGTTGGATGATGAGGAATTGGAACAAGTCTATCAAGACGACGGGGAAGAGATTTCATTAGGGATATGGGAGGCCGTTATGAGAGTCATGACGGTCGTGAGAGTACGGTGTAGACCGGCTCGGATGGTATACAAGGAAAAGGCCACCGCGAGAGGAGCCACAAAGGAACCACCAAACGCCTACCGAGGGGTATGCCCAACATTTCTCCTCCGCTATCGTGTCGCTACTCCATTTCCTTCCGGACGTCCCTCTGAATCTTCTCCTTGGATGCGATAACCCAGCCCCGGAGACACTCAAGCAATGCCCTCAGACACGCCTTCACCACCTCCTAGTGGAACCGGTCCGAGATCTTCTTCGATACGTCCTTCGTCTGGTCCCAGACTTGGGTCGCCGCTCGGACTGTACAAAAAAGAGGCATTAGCGACCGGTGAGCGGAGATGTGAGTCTATCAGCGCTTTCACCAGCTTGCTCTCCAATGGGGTTCTGCATGGCGCCACCCGCGAGGTTGCTGATGCCCTGCTTGAGGTTTTTGACGTCTTCTTGGTCGGTGGTGGGGATCTTGTTGATCTGGTCTGGGAGATGTCAGTGTTTGCTGAGTGGTGTTTGTGAGTATGGAAAGACCCACCCTTGGCCATGTAGGACATCTTGTTCTCGCCCATGGTCTGGAGGGCTTGCTTCTCCATCTTGCGCTTCATCTCCGGGGAGATTCCGAAGAAGTAGAAGTAGCCGGCGGCCAAGGCGATCAAGCCAGCGAGGATGGTGAAGATGCCGATAGCCATAGTGGAGACTGTGCGGTTGCTCGTTTGTGTGAGAGTTTGTGAGGAAATTGGTGTGTAGTGCTGCTACAGAGGAGATTTGGCAGAATAAAGAAGTGATGTGCGTGGTATGGTGGGTGTTTGTCGATCAAGGCCCAGATTATGTAGACGGGAGGGCATGACGTAGGAATTCCACATGCAAACCTGCGCGCGTTGCGACTGCGGGACCAAACGAGCGGTTCCTTCTTGGCATGAACTGGGCCCTACCTGCTGTGGCGCGTGCATTCTGAGAGCATTGAAATGGTCGCGTCTCCAAGCTGCAGTAGAGTCATACTGCGAATGCAACTGTGCATTGTCTAGCGGCCGTTGGTGTCGGCATACTAGAGCAGACCATTATGGAATATACGAAAAGTACGGACTCTCTCGTACTAGAAGAGAGCCTTACTGTTCGGCTCTTAAGGATATGATTAAGAAGCTGCGAGCAGAGAGATGTCTATGCTTCGCGAGTCAAGATGACAGTCCCTGTTGAGCCTGCCCGACGCGTGTATACTGCAACGGAACGTGTATGCAATGTCCGCCCATTCATCTGATAGTACGTGGTAGCATCGACCTGTGTTCAATTGAGCCTGACAAATATGGCATGGAGAAAGCGTTGAGGGCGGCTGCTAGGTTTTGAGCCATCCGCTGGCGCTGCGCCTCAAAGGCTCAAACCCTGGAGGCCGCGAGGCGGACACGAACATCGAATGCGCCTGCCCCACAGCCAGGCTAGGTGCTACTCCAGCAAGCCTTCCAAGACGCTCGACCTTTGTTGCTGACCCGGTCCAATTCCGTGCCTCCTTTTCACGACTTTCCTTTGCAGCCTTGCCTTTTGCTCCTAAGACAGCATTGCTACCTAACTGTTGTTTCTTACCCCTCACCCACCCCACCACCAGCTGAACGCGCCTGATAGGCACCCCAAATCTCACCCTCAGCCTGAGACGACGCTCGCGGCAGTCGTATAACTGCTTACCAGCTCGCCCATCATGAGTTGTACTTCCCTCCCTGCGGTGCGCATTGCGATATCCAGGACTGACTGCTGGCCTAGTGACAAACATGCTCAACAAGCTGCACGGCCAGCCCGACAGCTATGATCGCAAGTCTGTACCCTGCTGCCCTGCGCCCCGACGTGTACTGAACATGCCATTCACAGATCACGATACCGCTTCGGAAAGACACTCGGCGCCGGAACCTACGGTATCGTCAGAGAAGCTGACTGCCCCGAGGGCAAGGTCGCTGTCAAGATCATCTTGAAGAAGAATGTGCGCGGCAACGAGCAGATGGTGTACGATGAGTTGGAGATGCTGCAGCGCATGAAGCACCCTCACATTGTCAAGTTCCACGATTGGTTCGAGTCAAGGGTACGCGCGATACGGGTCCCTTCTGTGGGACTGTGGAGCTGACACCTGCCAGGACAAGTACTACATTGTAACCCAATTGGCGACGGGTGGAGAGCTCTTCGATCGCATTTGCGAAAAGGGCAAGTTCACAGAAAAGGACGCTGCTGAGACAATCCGACAAGTACTCGACGCAGTCAACTACCTCCACAAGAACAATGTCGTTCACAGAGGTATATTCTCCGCGTCGGATCAGATGCGACTACAGCAGCTAATTACTGAACAGATCTCAAGCCAGAGAACCTGTTGTACCTCACACGCGACGCGAACTCCTCCCTCGTACTTGCGGATTTCGGTATCGCCAAGATGCTTGACTCGAAGAGCGAAGTCCTGACCACCATGGCTGGTTCGTTCGGATACGCTGCTCCTGAGGTCATGCTCAAGAAGGGTCACGGAAAGCCCGTTGACATGTGGTCCATGGGCGTCATCACATACACACTGCTGTGCGGATACTCGCCGTTCCGGTCAGAGAACCTTGCGGACCTGATTGAGGAATGCAAGAACGGTCGCGTCATCTTCCACGAGCGCTACTGGAAGGAAGTGAGCCCGGAAGCCAAGGAGTTCATCAAGAAGCTGCTAGAGCCCAACCCGGACAAGCGACCGACCAGTGAAGTAAGATGAAGCAGTCTGGGTCTGTTGGAATGCACTAACAATACTAGGCTGCCCTCAAGCACGTTTGGCTCAGCGGAAGCACTGCTACCGACCACAACTTGGTGCCAGAGATCAAGGCGTACGCGGCAAAGGCCCGCCTCAAGCGCGGCATCGAGCTCGTCAAGCTTGCCAACCGCATCGAAGCGCTCAAGATGCAAGAAGACGAGGAAGAGGATGTACCAGGCGAGGCAGACGTGCCCGCCAACGCCCGCGAGGCAGCCGGCGAAGCCATTGCATCGCATTCCGAGGACAAGAGTCTGGCAACCAAGGAGAATGCAGACACAGGCAAGGGACCTGGACGCCTGAGCAGGATCGCAAAGGGCGCAATCTTCAGGGAAGTTGTGCTAGCCAAGGTGCGCGAGATGAAGGAAGCGGAGGCGCGAGCAGAGTTCGAGAAGAAGGCGTCGGAGCCGGTGCAGAAGTGAGAGAGAAGCTCTGGACGACTTTCCTTGTTTCTGGCGTAATCCTACAAACATGTTGAGTTTGCTGCAGTATTAGCGGAGGTCTCGTTTCCCAAGTATACCCCTGGAAGATAGCGACCAGGCCCCACTACCTAGAAACAGTTGATTGGTTGAATTTGATTGTTTGAAGCGTGATGCTGCAAGTCCAAGTGTTTACTATTTGCCGTGGCCATGGTGTGGTGGAGGACGCATCTGGTGATGCAAGCGGACCGTGCGCAGGGCTTGGCAAAACTGGGAAGCCTAGATTGAACACTGCGGCGCGTCCACCGGGTTGACGACGGAACGCGCATTTCACTGCACCGCCGCCACGATCCCTACAAGCCCCGAGACGCTTGGTAAACCACTCAGTCCGACTACGCGATCACGAATCAACCGGAAATGGAGAGCGCGGCCAAGCGCAAAGCCGCGAGTGCTGCAGCGGGCGACCACGACGGGCGCCCTGCGAAGCGACAAAAAGGGACGGTACGTGCAGGCTGTGGTGGTGGGCGATGCATCGTCGGGCGTGTCCTGGAGATGGACGAGGCGTGATGGGCGCGTTGCGGGATGCTCCTTAGTCCACCAGCGCGACACCTGGGGGGTTCGACGACCAGGCCATCACCCCGTCGGCCCCTCATCAATCCTCAACACCACGCGCGCGCCGGCGATGCAGTCAGCCATGGGGAAATCGGCTCAGATAACAATGGGAACAATGCTAACAGGAGACCGCTTCCGTGCAGGCCGAGACGCCCAATTCCAGATCAGAGACGGTCGAGTCGACCACGACGGCAGGCTTGAAGTTCCTCGACAGCTTGAAGCAGGCCAAGGACAAGACGTACGTGACGCCCTCCTTACGCCGCCTGTCGCACTGGCAGCTTCCATACTCCCAGTGTGCCGACGTAGGAACCCCCACTGACAGCTTGCAGCGGACGCCCCATCGCCGTCCACTTCCTCACTCTCCCCGACAAGGTATGCCCCCATTGCACTCCCTACATGCACCAGGTCCACTGACAATTGCATGCAGGCCGAAGTGCCCGACTACTACGAGTTCACGAAATTGCCTATTGCTATTGATACTATCGAGAACAAACTCAACAACGGCGAATACGCGTCCCTCGCTCAAGTCGAGAGCGACTGCAAGCGACTGGTCAACAACGCAAAGGCCTTCAACGACAAGAACTCCGTCATATACCAAGATGCCGAGCGTCTACGCAAGACCGCCTCCAATTGGATGGTCAAGCACAATCCCGCCTACCGTGACGGCAACTATGTCGCAACAGCCACCCCGATCCCAGGCGAAGACAACTTCACCCCGTCGAAACCTTCCCCCCGCGTTACCTCGACCCCAAGAACCGCCCACGCACATACACCTGCCACGCAAGATACAGCCGACCGCCCTCGACGTGCAGCTGCCATCGCGGCGTCGGCTACACCAGCACCGTCGAAGTTGCGACAGTCGGCGTCTGCTGCGCTGGAAGAAGACGATGATAGTGCTGATTATGCAGGAAAGACATTCCAGCAGGCACAAGAGCAGATCGTGAGGGAAATTCTTGATTATGAGGAGTAAGTTGCACGCTCCGTGCTGAAATACCAGCCAGCTAACACTCTCCAGCCAAGGACTGCAGATATTCCTACCCTTCCAAAACCTCCCGTCGCGCAGCCTGAAGGACTACTACCAGCTGATCAAAGATCCCATGTCGTTGGCCGCCATACAGAAGAAGGTTCGTGGAGTGGTAGGACGCGAGGCTCCGACAGGCCATACATTGTTCAAGAGCTGGGACGCTTTCGAAGAAGCTTTCAGTCTGATTTGGAAGAATGCTCGTATCTACAACGAAGATGGTAGCGACATCTACAACCTCTCGCTCGAGCTTGAAGTACGTACACTGTCTGCATGCTCTCATACCTGAGTACTCACCGGCGTAGGAAATCTTCAACAAGAAACTCGAAGAAGCCAGATCCAAAGTCAGCGAGCCAACGCAACCGAAGCTGAAGCTTAACATGTCCAGCGCCGCAGCGGCTCCAAAACAGCAGCTCAAGCTGAAGCTGAAGCCGAGCCCGGGATCAGAGCGTAACACTCCAAGTGCTCGCGATTCTGCGACGCCTGGCGTCATTGTTGACAACGATGCCCTTCAGCGACAACAACGACATGTTCTCGATAGCGTGGGCAACCGATTATCTCAAGCCCCACCTGGGAAAGCCGCGACGCCAACAGCACCTGCCAATCCGTTCACTGGACCGAGAGGTGGTGCTTCGTCGATTGCACCACTCTCTGCCGCCCAGAACAAAACCGCAGGATCCCCGCCCGCCGTCAACGGTGTCAAGCAAGACGTCCAATCCCCTGCCCTGAGTGCCATCAGGCCGGCCAGCACTGCACCGGATAGCCAGGCTGCCCGACTCAGCGTCCCAGCGCAGACTCCACATCCGAGTATGGCCCCTCCACAGAGTGTGTCTCGCCAGGCAAGCGGCAGTCCACATCCGAACGGTATCGGGCTGCAGAATGGAAATCACGTTCCCTCATTCCAAACGCCAACTTACTACGCGCCTCCACCAGTAGCCCGCGTAGACAGTTTCAGAAAGGTGCCACTCAAGAGTAAGTGTAGCAATCCTGATTCAAGAGATCTTCCATTAACAAACGCAGGCGTCGACGAAGCACTAATACCCAAAATCACACTCAATACCCACCCAGCGCTTAACCCATCGAAGCCATGGTCTACGAGCATCCTGGCGAACAAACAAAAGACCATGTATAGTGCCACGATGGTGGTCGCACCGTCCAACTCTTACATTCAAGTTGTACCCAAGGTCCCTATCGCGCTTACAAGCCGGATGTACCGCCTCTTCGTCACCGTGAATGGCAACAAGACACTCGAAGCAAATCGTGTTCCTGTCACGGCAGGCATCAACGGCACAAGCCCAAGTCCCAGTTACGAGGGCGGTAAGAAGAAGGGCGAGCCACTGTTCGAAGCGAAACTCGTAGCTGGCGTCAATCGTATCGAGGTTGAGATCGTCGCGGAGAAGGAGCGCAAGGTTCAGCCTGAGAGTGGCACTGCAAAGAAAGAGGATGTCGAGATTGAAAAGTGTACAATCTTCCTACATTTACCTCGGCAACCGACGCATTAGGCATCCGACGACTTGGACAGGGCAGACCCTGGATACAAATGGTTGGACTCGCTCGCGTCATGGCTGGACGCTCATATTGTTTCTTGAACGCCTGGGGTATTGGCGTTTACCATTGCGGTGGGCATCAGCATCAGGATGACAGGAGTTACGGTGCTTGCTTGCTTTTATTTCTGGCGGTATACCTGAAATTGGAGCGTGTTGTCAAGCTGGGAGAATGGGAACGGGATAACAGAGGATTGAGACTATGGGGGAGGAAGCGCGATGTAAAATTCCGCGTTGTAAGAATAGGGCCTTGTCGATCGAGACGTGCACATCTATCTACTTAGTTTCTTTGAAACGAATTAAATATTTGAAAAACATACATTCTGCATGGGTTGGATGGTTGTGCGTACAGTGCGTCGTCTCGCAATCTACATTGACTACCCTGGCGACATGCACCTCCAGACCTCGTTCCTAGCCGAACTGCACATCTCGGGAGCCAAGCAGCAACTCAAATTAATCGTTCGGGAAGAAGTCAAGGTTCAGTATGCAGTCAGGATATTCATGCAGCTGCAGCTTCGGAACTCCGCGCTTACCGTCCGAGGATACACGACGGCGGGCGCAACATGAAAGGAACGGGGACTCGACACGCATATAAAAGCCCGACTACCAGCACCTTCCCTCCCTTTACAATCTCGAATCGCAAGCATCCAAGACTCACAATCATGACCCTCCCATCCCGAAATCCCTCACCACCGCCCCAAGCTCGCCCCAAACCAGGTCTCCTCCTCGTACACCCCCGCCTCCACGACCCCACCCCAGCCAATGCTACCACGTTCCTCCGCTGGACGAAACTCCATTTCAGAGATATGCTCAACATACCCGACACGGGTTCCGGTCGCGTCACACAAGACTTGCGGTTCGTTGCACCGGAGGGCGATGATGGGTATGGGCATGACAAGAAAGAAGCAGGAGAAGGAAATGACAGCAAGAGGGCGATGCCAAAATACTTCTACACGTGCCTGATGGATGACATTGCGTTTCTAAAGACGGAAGCATACATGAGCATCAGTCGAAGACTGAACCTGGAAAAGAGCAGGAAGTTAGAGGAGGGAGAGGTGGGCGTGGGGTTTCTGGAAGAAGAGGAGGAAGGGGAGGAGAAGATGGTGTTTGATATTGTGGACGCAGAGTTTGCTGTCTATGAAGAAGTAGGGGGGTTGGAAAGGGAAGGTGAGATGCCGTTTCAACGTCTACCAAAGCATCTCGTTTCGCGGATGGGCGCAGCGCCGAAATCTGTGCTTGTTACTGTGTATATCGATGCGACACTTGGGGTTGGGGTGGAGGGAGATAGTGTGCCGCGGACTCTTCATGACTCTCTGCTTGCTCGCTTCAAAGCTGTGGTTCCGCCGGCTCTGAAGCCGTACTCGTCGTTGTATAAATGGGCGGGGGTGGAGGCGCAGCCGGACTCTCATCCGTTGATTGGTAGTGATGGGAGGGGGGAGTGGATGGTGCTGCTTTTGTTGGTTGATGAGGAGGGGGAGACGTTGGTCAGAGGGCATGCTATTATGTTGGTGGAAGGGTGGGTTGAGCAGGAGAGGGGCAAGGTGGGGGATGGGCGGATCGAGTTTGGGGTCTGGGAAGGAGAGGTTTTTATGGGCTGATTGAGAGGGCCCTCGTTGTCTGGGTCGAATTGGGTTCCCAAGGGCTGAGATGCTGATGGAGGATGTAGGTATGCTTCACAATCTTCCAATGTGTGCGTTATGCCTAGATAATGACGCTTTGCGATATGATTTCCGCCTGTCTTCATTTAGTGTTGTAGATATCACCGATGCTCGATGTACAATGCGCGCAGGAGGTAGGACGTGAAATTTAGTTGTGTTGTGAGCCCGTGGATTCCTGAGCGTCGGTCATGAGGGGTGACATCACCCCGCATCAACGGAGCTACACACCGCCGTGAGCACAATCCCGATGCCTCTATCGTTCTCCCTTTCCACACCCAACGTTGAAGCCTGGTCCTGAACCATGTCGCTGATACCGGAATCTCATACAGCATTGTCAAGGACAGAGAATGGAGTGTTTGATGTCGCACCAAAAACCGACTGGCAAAAGTCCGCGTCAGTCACATGATACTCTACTCCAGGGTATCGCATACTAACATCAAGTAGCATTGAGCGTAATGCACTTGAATCGCCTCTGCTCCGTCTACCTCGCGAATTGCGCGATCTCATCTGGACCCTTACTTTTACGGGAACTGTAAAACCCGTTTACAGTGGGGCTTCCTGGTCCTCTCCATTCAGCGTCCTTGTGGCATGTCGACAAATCTACACCGAAGCTATCAGTCTTGCGGGTCCATTCCTTACCTGGTCTCTCAGCTGCATTCCAGACTACGAAATCTTCTTTTGGAACATATTCGATGTTGAAGGAGCAAAGTACAAGAATCGCTTCATACACTCCATACAGCTTGGCGTCGATCCTTCGGATTCATACATGCTAGCCGAGATAATAGATCCGGGGACTGACGATGATCGACATGAGGAAACGGGTGAATATCGTCGTCCTACATTCCGTGCTTTCGAGAATCTAACGCATGTGGAACTACTATTGTCCGCTACGGGGGTCTTTAGTGATTCTGAGAACGAAGACGACGAGGAGGCGGAGGAGGTTGAATCAACCCGTTATGAGAATGATGACATCGAGGAAGCCAGAGACAACTTCACCAAAACAATGGAACGGATGCTTCCTCGTGTGCGTGTAACGTACAAGGACTTCGATGACAGCGCGGCAATGAAAAGGTTCTGGACGACACAAGATCCCAAGGAGCTGAGTATACGGGTGTTCTCTGGTCGGCGAGAACGACAAAAGGCTCTGGAACCTTGACTGATCGCGTAGAGTATTTCCTCTTCTGTCGGCTCCTTGGCGGAATGGAAACGGGGAAGGTTAGCGCGGTATCGCAAAAGCAATGGCGGAATTCGCTTCCTCCCGCACATGGTGGCCTCGTGTTCATGTCTGCGGGAAAGGTGTTGAAAGTGCGCTGTCCGGAATGTGGTGGCGATTGGTCATGCTCGATTGCAGAGGTGCCCAGACACAGTCCCGCTGACCTCGATAGAGTTGTCAGAAAGACTAGTTGGGGGCCTTCGTGAAAGATCTGGAACGCATCATAGATACTCGTAGTGATTGATAGCACGGCAACGATGAGTACATCATGAGATCTCACCTCAACAAACCATGACAAGCTATCGCTAGGGTACTTGTTACGCATCAACAACCTTCTTGTGCACCAACCGAGGCTTCTATTCGGCGATTCTTTACGTTAGTCGTGCGATTGAAACAAGCTTTCGGTTCTGGATGAGGGAAGACACGGCTGAGCGCCGAAGAATCTGCAAATAATGTAGGTGCGGGCAGGCCTGGAAAGCTATTCCAGTCTCGCGACGGCGTTCCTCTCAAGTTCTCGAGAGTACAGGTCTGACATGTGAACGAATATGATATCGTTCGTCCGCAAGTAGGCGATGTATACGAAAACGGACTCCGACTGTTGCCTGCCACGGGACCGAGGTAGAGCAACGCGGTATAAACGACGGCTTACCAGGTCACCGGACACGATATTGCAGTAGCAACGGGAGCCACAGCTGAGGCTCGTCGTATTCCCATGGGTCTAGCAGAGGCCAAGCTTTCGCGTCTTGCTGAGCGGACTTGGCAATCTGCAAGCCATTATTGAACGAGGCGACATTCTCGAACAGCATCGGTGAGACCAGAATGGAAAAGTGCCGCAGAAGTCCCATCTAGTCCTTCGCTACTGCACACTGACAGCCTCAGCTTATCGGACTTGAGAAAATGGCGGCGCCATTGCGAAGACAGCGAAGCAACACGATGGTAGCACAGACGACGTGGAATTTTCCAATGCAGTGTCAACATTTGCATGCCATGAGTCTATTGGAAAATTGACAGCGGTTTGTACGAAGGCGTGGAGAGACATCAGAGGCGGTACTGCTGACAGGGGTCTGCTGGTGAACAGGGCCCCCGATTTAGTATCACCCTTCTCGCGTGCCCAAGTGCCGTCGCGGGGTGGTCTCGCAGGGGTAAGCGGATGGATGTCGAATTAGCGGGAATTTTCCCATGCTAGATATTTTCCGACGCTGTGCCATGGTCGAGCTCAGCTCGGAATCAATTGCGAAGTAGGTGTGAAGGACAAACTCCACTCTGATATAGCAATTGCATGATCTTGCTACTGTTAGTCCGTGATCGGACCAGAGTGGTGGTATTCTCGTTCCACCATGTCTGATCCCAGCGTGGTGCGACAGCTGTTCCAGACAATGATCGCTGCGCGATCCTATGTGGAGGTGGTAGTAAGAACATGGCATTGAGTGTTGAGGCTCGACATTGCGCGCAAGGCTATCGACAAAGTCAAACTCATCGTTCTCAGATGCTTTTTGTTTTGGTTCTTGGGTCAACTCCAGTTCGGCGAGGCAGTTGTTTTGGCGGATCGTGACGGGAAGGGATTCGAGGCTTGTACACGCGATGGTACGACTTGGCCAATGGTGAAGCTGTGTAATGAAAAGGGAAGACACGAGCCGTGCATTCGGCATGCATGAATTCCGCGCTGATGCTGCATTACGGGGTAGCTGAGGTTAAGCTGTGGAGAGGCGTGGTGGCTTGGAGGGCTTCGAATGACAGGCTGAGCGATCTCCACGCCAAGGCCCGCGGGCGCTAGCTTAGCGCCGATCGCAGCTTGGTCACAGTCCAGACCTCCCTTTCCGCAGCCTCCCTCCAACATTCTCCGCTTGCAATGAACACACACACACCAGCACCGGCACACTGGCAAGCAGTCCCCCGGACGTGGAACTGCTATTCCTGGATCGACGGGACTCCTAAACAAGCCTGGCCAAGTTGACCGGTCTCTCGCGTACCACGATGCACTAGCAATTAGCGCCTCACAGCTCACACGCTGGCAACAATGTTCAGCCCTAGCAGGGCGAGACTGCTACGAAAGTTCTCATGGAGGGCCTGAATCGTGTTGACCGCTCGTACCCAGCCGTCGTCTAGGCATGTAGAGCGCCATCCGTAAACGAGGACCTTCTTGACTACACCTTTCCGAGTTGAGACTGTCGGTCTTCCCGAAACAGACTCTGCAACTCGTCCGTTGTTCACTTTGCCTACTGATATCCGTCACGTGGTCGTGGTGAAGAGCAGGGAAGACCTGGGGTTCTCGTGGTCGAGAAGATCCAGATGAGTCAAGATTGAGTTCAGCATCACCTGCTCATATGCACCATTCGGAGATACTGATTGAATTCATTCCGCATTTGTAAATGGATTAGTCTCTCATGCTGTTCTATCAGCATGGGCTAGTCATCCTACTGGTCGCCAAGACTCATCAGCTTTCGCTCATCGCCTAGCTCTTGATCATACCAAGCCTCTCAAGCCATGTCTAGGCATGAATCACATATTCTCGGCCTTTCCAGGCAGTGGCTTGAAGCAGACTACGATATGGTGAATGTCGACACACTCAGGCAACAGTAGCGAGAACGCCGAATGGCGTCTCCTGCCGGCCCTAGACTTCACATCCCATTCTTGTGGGAGTACACTTGCTACGATGAGGGATGGTGGGAACGGGGGTCTGGCAGGATACCATGAAGTAGGCGTATTCGAGACCTTTTAGCTCCTGTATACCATGAGCTGGGGATGTATAAATTGTTCCAAGACGCCAGTGTACAACAGAGCATCAGCCCAATTCACTCATATCTGCTCATGTCCTGATCTTCATCCGCCTTCACTACGCCATGAAGAACTATCTTTCAATTGGAGTCACAGCCCTCTTGGCATCACAAGCACTTGCTGGCGACGACGAGTGGCTCAGCCCAGTCTACAAGCAGATTTTTCAGAACCCGCTTCCTATCCCCCAGGATAAGGCCGTTTCGTACACCTACCGAAACAAGACGACAGGAAATGAGATTGACTTCTACGAGGTCGATGTGAAGCCATTCACACAACAAGTCTACCCTGGGCTTAAGCCTGCCAATCTTGTTGGATACGATGGAGTATCACCTGGTCCTACTTTCCGCATGACCAAAGGTCGTGAAGCCATTGTTCGATTCAAGAACCACGGCCCCAAGGACCTTTCGGTGCATCTTCATGGTTCCTACAGCCGAGCACCTTTCGATGGGTGGGCCGAGGACACTACCAAGAACGGACAATACAAAGACTATTGTGAGTACCGGCTGTCACTGGCATTATGCCACATGATTGCTAATAATTATAGACTACCCCAACAAGCAGAGTGCACGAACTTTGTGGTACCACGACCATGCCATTCATCACACTGCGGAGAACGCCTACTTCGGACAAGCTGGCTTCTACATTCTCCATGACCCTGCCGAGGATGAATTAAAACTTCCTTCGGGCGCATACGATGTACCTCTGGCACTGGCCTCAAAGCAGTACAACAGTGACGGCACGCTTTTTGATCCGGCAAGCGAGACCGTTTCCCTCTGGGGTGATGTCATCCACGTCAACGGCCAACCATGGCCTTACCTGAAGGTAGAGCCACGCAAGTACCGCTTCAGGGTGCTCAACACAGCCATCAGCCGCGCCTTCAAGCTCACTCTTGAGGACCCCTCAGCCAAGAAGGTTCCATTCAATGTCATCGCCGCAGACACTGGTCTCATGTCCAAGCCTGTGCCGACCGACAACCTCGAGATCTCAATGGCTGAACGCTGGGAGATCGTCGTCGACTTCAGCGCATATGCCGGAAAGAACGTAACGATGAAGAATGCCCGCGACGTACAAGCAGACGAGGATTACAACAGCACTGACAAGGTCATGCGATTTGTCGTCGGTTCCTCCGTCTCCAGCACCGCCGGCAACGGCGCTCTCCCAGGCTCTCTACGTACAGTACCTTTCCCACCCAAGAAGAGTGGCATCGATAGGAGCTTCAAATTTGGACGCACCGGCGGAGAATGGACCGTCAACGGCGTCACCTTTGCGGACGTCAATAACCGCATCCTCGCAAAGCCCCAGCGCGGCGCTGTCGAAGTCTGGGAGCTTGAGAATTCATCCGGCGGCTGGAGCCATCCCGTGCATATCCATCTCGTCGACTTCCAGATCCTGAGCCGCACTGGAGGTAAACGAAGCGTTCTTCCCTACGAACGAGAAGCTTTGAAGGACGTCGTCTTGCTTGGCACAAACGAGAAGGTCACAGTCATCGCTCGTTATGCTCCATACGATGGTGTATACATGTTCCACTGCCACAACCTCATCCACGAGGACCACGACATGATGGCTGCCTTCAACGTCACCAGCCTTGCCAACTTCGGCTACCCCGAGACAACCAAGTTCATTGACCCGATGGAGGAGAAGTACCGCTCCAAAGACATCAATGAATACGACGACAAGCACATCGATGAGAAGTGCGCTGAGCTTGAGGCTCTAGAGGCTTACACTGAACCTGAAAAGGTTGAGCAGGCGCTTGTGGAGTACTGGGCCAATGGAGGCAAGGGACCTAGCACGCTAGTTACCAGCACTCGACCAGCTTCTTCTTCTTCTTCTTCTTCATCGTCCTCGTCTGCTACGGATGCTGCTTCTTCCACGACGTTGCAGACAACTAGTTCAGCCGCAGCTAGACTTATCTCTTCCTCTGCGACGATAACTCCAGCGCCCAAAGCGACAAGTACAAGTACGAGGAGGGATGACAAGAAGACATCGACATCGTCCACCAGGAGAAGATAAAAGAGGGTTGAAGGTTTTAGGCGTTGCTTTTCTTTCTGTACATAATCTTTCAAGGCGTTTTAGAGGCAGGTGGGATACATATCATGACGACACGACATTCCTTATATAGCGAGATCATTCAATGATATTCTCTTTTTCACCACAATGACACCCCTAGT